GCTTTAAAGTTTAAGATATATGATTTTGAGGTTGTTTATCACCAAAGGAGTTTTATATTTGATGTTAACACCTTTTCTCGAGCTCTTTTTCTTTTTTCATTCTCTTCTCATGTTTTTGATAAGCTTATTGTTCAAGCATTTGTGTATTTTATGAATAAAGATTCTATGCCGTTATCAGTTGTTATACTTGATGTTTAATGTTCACAATGTATGGAGCAAAATACCTTCTCTTAACAAGGTTTATAAGGCTCAAAAAGTAAACGTAAGATTAATCTTATTACAACCATTAGATGGTAAAATAAATAGAATATGCTAAAAAGTGTTTAGGAAAGTTTATAAATTATAAATATGTTTATATATTATAAATACAAGATTAATGAAATGAATAACAATCATTTACTCCTACAGTTTTGCTTAAGCATACAAAATTTACTGGATGCAACAATGTTTGGTTACTTAATAATAGTGGTTATTATTTATTAATCTTATTTATTAATTGAAATCTTGAAAGGTGTTTAGAAAAGTTTGTAAATTATAAATACAAAATTAATCTAATAACTGTTAGATGGTTAGAATATTATATTTTAGGTACATCCACTCTTCCTTTATAAGTTTGCTTAAGCAAACCAAAAATAATATTTGAAAGTGTTTTTCACATAAATTAAAATAATTTTCTGCATAGCAATGCTTAGTTTGCTTAATAGTAGTGTCATACTTATTTAGTATTTTTTAATAACCCAATTGATCAATAATTATAAACATGTTTATAATTTATAAATCAAGATTAATCTTATTGCATATTAATCATTAGATAATGGAATAAAAAGAATATACTAGGAAGTCTTTAGAAAAGTTTATAGATTATAAATATATTTATAAATTATAAATACAATATTAATCTAAATAAATAACAACAATTAAATGATTGAATATTCTTAAAATATTCAAGTATATTTTAAATATATTCAATCCCCTTATCAATTTTGTTTAAGCAAACCAATTATATAGCCTATAGTTTTTGATAATTTTTTATGTGAAGAAGTTTCTTCGGTACTTGCTAGGATCCGGGAGGTGGATGTATACGTAACGTATCGATTTTAAGGTGTCCAGGTTCATTGTACCCAGGCTGAGCAATTTAAAGGCTAGGGTTTTAGCATAAGGAATGTAGCAGCGCCTCATGGATCGATGCTGCGCTCATCTGCGTCTCAGATGCTTCCCGATCAGCAAAGAATCGCCGCTCCAATTCCATCGCCCTGCTCTTCTTGTGCGCCTCGCGGCTGGAAAATCTGTTATTCCGGGCCCTGGATTAACAGATTTTCCAGGCAAGAAATCCTCGCTTCGTCTCGTTTGCAGCAGAGCGGCAGCGGCGGCTGCGGAGGAGTGCGATCACAACAGGTAATGTGGATTTGGGGGCCAATTCGTTTAGAGATCATGAGTTCTTGTTGCCAGTGGTGCGTCGAGCTTTCTGGACCAATACCCGGCGCTGACAACCGGGTCGCTCTTCCTATCTTGGTAAGAAGAAAAGATAAGAGATTTTTGTTTTCTTCCCTAGCTCCAAATCAAAGGATCGCACAGGTCTCTGTTAAATGCGGTTTTTAATGTCTTGAACAAGCAGGTGTTTCACTACTTTCCATATCCATGGTAACTTCCTCTTCTTCTTCGTCTTGTTTAGTCTAAATCTTTTTCCTCGCCTTGAACAGTACCATGTCCGTGATTCATCTGGCGGTGGGAGTTACATACTGCAGCGTTTGCTGGGCATTTGGAATGCCAAAACGTGTCGTAAGTTTTCGATTTTTTCGCCAGACTACCTATCCTGATTTGATTGGTTCCAGCCATTGAGCAAGGAACTGATGAGATTGCTTCTGCCAGTTTCGTTTTGTCACGCTCTGGGACACATCATGACCAACATTTCCTCATCCACCGTCGCCGTTTCCTTCACGCACACGGTCAAAGGTTTTGTGGTTTTGCTTTTAGTTCATGGAGATTGACAGGATTACTCGTGTTTGCTGCTGGCAGCGCTGGAGCCTTTCTTCAACGCATCTGCGTCACAGTTTCTTCTGGGACAATCAGTTCCTTTCGCCCTCTGGCTTAGCTTGATACCTGTAGTCGCTGGTAAATATATGCTCTAGATTTGTAAACCTCTTGCATTCTCAAGCTTGGTCCTTCAGGGGTTTCTCTAGCATCACTCACAGAGGTTTCATTTAACTGGAAAGGATTTCTCAGTGCCATGACGTCGAACGCAGCATACACATACCGAAACATTGTTTCCAAGGAGGCTATGGTACAAAGCATTTCTTCATATCTGATGACGCTCTTTCTTGTCCTGTCCAGGCAACAATTGACAGCACTAATCTTTACGCTTACATATCTTTGATTTCGCTCTTCATGTGCATACCACCAGCATTACTGGTAAGTAGCATTCATTTAATCCACAAGCTTTTAGTAGATCAATGCTTTTTATCTACAGATAGAAGGTCCGAGCCTTGTCAAGCACGGGCTTGCTTCCTCAGTTGCAAAAGTAGGCATTCGAAAGTTCGTAGCAGATCTAATCGTGGTGGGAGTTTTCTATCATCTGTACAATCAGGTTCGTTCTTTCTCTTCGATAAAGCACGATGCCAGATATTTCTTGTACGTCTATCAGGTTGGCAACAACACTCTGGAACGAGTAGCGCCTCTGTCACACGCAGTAGGCAACGTACTAAAGCGAGTCGTAGTCATCGTATTCTCTATACTTGTTTTTGGTAAGCCTTTCGAGTGATTAGATTGATGATGCAAGTGACTTTCTTTCTGTCTGTAGGAAATCGAATTACAAGACAAACTGCTGTAGGCACGACGATGGCAATCGGTGGAGTTGCCTTCTACTCTTTTGCTAAAGCCAAACTAGACGAGATGAAACAACGAGCTCTTTTGAATCAAAAGCATTAGTTTTGGATTTGGTCTACCCGCCTCGATTGCATCACCATGCAATTGACATGCTAGGCTGAGAACATCGTGGACTGGAAAGTTATCTTCTTTGGCCAAACTGGACTCGAGGAGCATTTGCTATAGACGAGCTTTCTTGACAATCGAGCGCTTAGATCCGATCCAGTCGTGCTTTATCTACTCCACAACTTATCAGCCTTGCCACCTTCCTTTTCCAGGACATAAGCCCACCGAGTCCAAAATCTACAGAGTCTAAAACTCTCAAACACCTCCTCAGCTTCATTGATCCAGATTGTCACAGCATGAAAGAAGCGTTGTCGCAAAGGCAAAGTTACAAATGCATTGGGCATACAAATCAATCTACACCAGATCTTTCTGTCCAAGTTTCTCATAAATTTCTTTAACCAGTTGACCTTGCAGCATATTAAGCAATCCAAACGTTGCTACATGTGGCAATCTGAAAATCCCTGAAAAGTCACTCTTCAAGGAGCGATCGAACACTCTAGTGTTACACCAGGCTAACGAGCGCTACCTTGTGTCCGGCATCATCCACCTCCTCGCTGCTGATGGGCCGCAATCTTGAAGCCCCAAGAGAAGACGTTTTTGGCATCGAATGCTCGTGCGCTTGCCATACATGTCCACCAGAGGATTGCCGATACTGGTGGAGTGGCGGCCATGGAATCGCAGCTGCGCTTGCATGCATCCCACATTTCGACACAAGGGCCCCAAACTCCTCCGCATCGATCGCAATGTCCGTGCTCCTGGACGCATGGAGCTGGATCTCTTCCATCGAATACTGGAGCTGGACGACTTGGTCCACTCCACCGCGCTCCAATCCAATCGCTCGCGGTCCTCAAGTGGACCAGATCATTGAGCCATGAGAGCTGGCGCTGGAGAACGCCATCCTGGAGATGTATGCACGATCATGCCCACACCGAGTTGGCGAGCTGGAGCGTCTTGGATGCTTCTAACTTAGATATTTAATTCAAAACATAGAAGAGATCTACCAGCGATTTTGCTGACTCTCCACAGGGAGGAGCACCGCCAATCCAATGAATCTAGTAAAGCGCAACATTGATAGCGATGGAAATGAAAAAGTGAGGGATCACTTGATCCTAATTTCTATCGCATCCCCCGATGAGGAGCTGATCTTGCTGATCTCTACCACGGCGTCTTGTTCAACATACACACATGGGACACTGTACAAAGCACCTTCGTGCCTCTCTATCTTGATTCTTGATCCACCGCCCGCGATTCCCACTTCGAACTTCACGCGTGAAAGAATGAGAGATCTCAAGCTCGAGTCTGCAAATCAACTCAAAACAATAAGAACCCAGAAAGATAACAAAGAGCATCTGCGCTCTACCTTGGTCTCCATGGCGACCACAAGCTTGGAAGGAGCCATTTCTATGGTAAACAAGAGAAAGAATGAGAGATCTCAAGCTCGAGTCTGCAAATCAACTCAAAACAATAAGAACCCAGAAAGATAACAAAGAGCATCTGCGCTCTACCTTGGTCTCCATGGCGACCACAAGCTTGGAAGGAGCCATTTCTATGGTAAACAAGAGAAAGAATGAGAAAAACAAAACGAATATGTTAGTGTGGAATTGAGGACATGGTTGATCAGGAGAAAAAGATGGCAGATAATATCATTAGACGCGAGCAACGTGGGCTCGCAGCAATCCCTATTTGCTCGAACATTGCGTTCTGGTAAAGGTGACGTTCGTGGGACAGCCGCATTCGCTGGTACAAGTCAAAGGCGAGGTCGCCGTAGCCATTGACGGAGTACGCAGCGATCAAGCTGTTCCAGGATACAACATCCTTGCGTGGCATTGTCCCGAAAGTTGTCCTGGCGTCGCCCAAGCTCGCGCACCTCGCTGACGAGGGCGTTCCGGATTTGAGCTCCGTTCTCTGGGCTGCCGCTCGTCGCAAAGCTCTCTTCGACATTGGAGTGGATCAGCCTCGTGGTGTGCAAGTCGACTGGTCCCGTGCAAGCGTTCATGATCGAGAGAGGCAACGTCGTTTGCCCTCGAGCTCCATTCTCTGGTAGAGCTGAAGCGATTCCGAATTGAGACCTGATGGCGTTCCAAAGATCCGCACGATTCTTTGAACACGCTCCTGGCGGTGGTAAGCTGGCCTCCGTTTCCATAGATGCTCACCAAAGAGTTGCAAACAACAGTGTCGGAGGACACTCGAAGGCCCCTAGAGCTCCAGAGAACTTCCATGAAGCCCGAGAAAGACGCATAGGTGACGATGAGAGTGTTCCGGGAGATCACGTCGGGCTGGTCCGGGACACCCCTGATTCAAGTGAAGTCATATCCTAGATAAAAGAGCCTGTAATGTAATGCAATGTCTCTTTGTATTGCCAGTAGACAAGTATATTATGTGGGTGTTGGAGCTGAGGTGGAGTCTAAGTTAAGAATCCCTGTCTGGTGCAGGTGGGCGACTGCTCTGCGTATGCTTGCTTGCTTTGCTTGCCACCACAATGAGCATTGTGGTTGAAATAGTTATAAATTTAAACCTTTGATCTTTTTCAAGAGATATTTTGAGAAACAGAAAAATCTGGTGACCTGATGATGCCCAGTGCGGGCAATCCCAAGATACACGAGCACCTACAGACGCTTCTTTCATGCTGTGACGATCAGGGCGATGGAGAAGAGATCCATGCTTGTATCGTGAGGGCTGGGATCGAATGGGACGTCGCCATGTCCACTGCATTGGGGCGCTTCTGCTCAGTGGACTCGACCTTAAAACTCCCAAGCTTAAAAGTCTTAGCTACAGCGTAGCTCTTCCATGCCAGAGCACTGACTTCTCCAGCCAGCCGAGCTTCCTGGAGTGATTCCTTAGAATCTCTGTGGCACACACTCCTCAAGGAGCGACCGAACAAGGTTGCCCTGCTCCAGAGCCAAGCAAGACCTCGCCAGCCTAAGGAACGCAACCTTATGTGTCCTTGCTTCGCTCACTCCCTCCACCACTCTTTGCTGCTAGCATAGGCCGTGATCAAGAATCCCAATAGAAGACGTTCTTGTCGGCGATGCGCGTGCGTCGTGCGCGCTGCCATGTGGAATCGCAGCTGCCTGCTTCCAGGAGAAAATATTCTAATTGTTTAGAGAATATTCGCGGCTAAGCACATCGGCACCGTTGATAGTCGATCACATCTCAGCCGTCGGCGAAACGCCATCCCAGCCGTCGACATATAGTCGTTGTGGGTTTCTACCCTTTTATTTTTCATATCAAGGAAGCTTGCGCGAGAGGAGAAGCTTGCGCGAAGACGGTGAGTTCGAGGAGGACGATTGTGCCGAGCTCCTCAAGATCCACACGAGGGGCCAGGGCCAGGTTTTCGTGCTCAACGCCGGGAAGATGTTTCAATCGGGGAGGGAGGCCGGGAGAGAGCTCCGGCTCATGTCAAAGCTCCGCGGCTGCGCTGGAGTGGTCTCCTTGGCGGGCTTCGTGAGGAAGAGGAGCGGCGGGGCTTGCTACGGGACCATGGTGATGGAGCTGTGTGGTCCTAGTCTGTGCCATCGATTGATCAAGGGAGGGCCGCTGGGCGAGAAGGAGGCCGCCAAGACCATCCAGCGGCTGGCGGAGGGGCTCAAGGGGATACATACCAGCGGCATCATCCACCCGAATCTCAAGCCGGAGAACATCTTCGTCAAGCTGGACGCTACTGCCGTGCACGAGGTGGTGATTGGAGACTTTGGAGTGGCCACGGACGACCCCAAGGAGATGTCGCAGTACTGTGGAACCGGGAAGTATATGGCCCCGGAGATGACGAGCTGTAAGAGTGGTCATGGTGACTCAAGGTTGCGGAGCTTTTACACTACAGCCATCGACGTGTGGGAGTGATCACATATGAGCTGCTGAGAGGCTACAAGCAATCCAGGGAGATCGAGTTGTTTCGAGCCGGAGAATTCCCGGATGGTTGTCCTCTCTCAGACGAGGCGGAGGATTTCATCTGTGGGATGCCGATCGAGAGGTTGACGCTGGATGGTGTGCTGGAGCATCCCTGGATCGTGGAGAATTGCAGCAGTAAGATCAAGAAGACGATTCATAGGAGGAGGCGCTGTGGAGTGAAGAGGAGTGCTTGGTTGTGAAGAAAGTTCGAGCAGCGTGAGTTATATTATCGCTAACCCGTTTTCCTCCGTCACAACGCTCTTAAAATGTGAGACTGGTCAAACAAATCTCCATGATACAAAGAATCCTCTTCAGTCAACGCGTGTTTGTTGCTTTCATTTAGTTTTCAGGTGGATTGTTGTGTTTGAGACCACATGCTGGAGCAGTATAAAGGGGTGAAATTCGGGCGAGAGTTAAGCGTGCTCGTCTGGGTACCTCCAAATGGGCCGTTGGCCCTGGGCGTGGCCAACTTCATCGTGGTCTTTGATTAAACGTCGTTTTTTAGAATTTTTTAAAAAAAACTTCACCTAAAATCTCAAAGAGTTATGCGGCCATTAGCGTGAAGATATCTGACTAAGTGATAGGCATTTGGTTGAAGATGCAACTTTAACATGTTGCAACTAAAAACAGTGAAAGCATTGTTTGCCCTAGAGCTGTCTTTCAACACCTTGCAACTTTGCCTGATATTTTAATTGTAGAGGTCTGTTTGTTTTGGTTTTGGTTGAATTTCTAGGCGTCATTCTCGCATCAGCATACTCATACCAGTACACATACCGCCTCATAAACAGCAGATTCACCACTTCAGGATACATTTGAATCTATTCAATCTCAAAAGTAAAGGCTCCAGGGTTGAATTGACACATATTCTCCTATGCGCACTAAGAGCTTACGCAGCTTTGAACAGGAACGGCTTGTTCATCGACTTTCTTCGTAGAGAGAATGTTTTTACATGCAGGATCATCGATGGACGAAGCCTAATGTTCTTCTCGATTTTTTTTTTATCTGCAATGAGTACTGTGTATTGTTCCTGTTCGATCCTGCATTCAAAGTTCTGCTGCAGTGAATTGCTGGGGGAAGTGGCAGCACTACAACCCCATTGGCTGTTTGCGGCTCCACTACTAGTGGTCGGATTCAAATTGCAACTAAAGAAAATTCGAGTGCCTGAAGGCCCACACCGTACATCTGATCAGAATGCTGAGCCTCTATATCAACCCCCGGGTATGCTCGGAAAGCAGCTAGGGATTTTCCATTGCATTGCACTCCTGAAGAATGGCACCACTAACCGCTTTTCTTATTCTTCTGGCTCAAATCCAGTGCTCGATGGGAGAGGTAAGTATTTTATTGAGTCTACATCGGTCGCTAACTGGTGCCATCGTAGGTTTATATAGTCTACATGGGGAAGAAAACCGTCGAAGACCACGAACTGGTAACGAAATCCCATCACGAAACGCTGGCCAGTGTGTTGGGAAGTGAAGATTTGGCAAAAGGTGCTATCTTGTACAGCTACCGGCATGGATTCAGCGGTTTCGCAGCAGATATGAATCCAAGGCATGCAAAAGCTTTGTCCAGTAAGTGGCTGTGCTCTCAGTTTTCAGGCTAATACTTCTGCAACAGAGATGCCTGGAGTTGTGTCTGTGTTCCGCAGCAAAAAGGTGAAGCTGCATACAACTCACAGCTGGGACTTCCTTGGATTGGATGTCATGAAGCCCAAAGGCATTTTGCAAGAATCGGGCTTCGGAGTGGACGTAATTGTTGGGGTTGTGGATTCAGGTGTTTGTTAAGTTTCACATTCTAGTGTGCAGCAGATACCAAAATTTCGGAACTTTTCTGCAGGTGTATGGCCTGAAGCTGAGAGTTTCAATGACAAATCAATGCCAGCAGTTCCCACAAGATGGAAGGGAATATGTCAAATAGGCGAGAACTTCACGGCTTCAAACTGTAATAGGTTCGTTGTTGGGACCTCCGAGTGGCTTGGAACTTGGAAGTATAGCCGTTTCATGTGTTTTAACTGCATGAATGCAGGAAACTTATAGGAGCTCGATATTTCGACCAAAGTGTGGATCCTAGCGTGGAGGATTACAGATCACCCAGGGACAAAAACTCTCACGGCACGCATACATCGTCGACCGCTGTAGGCAGGCTCGTTTACGGAGCCAGCGATGATGAATTTGGCAGCGGAATAGCTCGTGGTGGAGCACCAATGGCCAGGCTTGCAATGTACAAATTCTATGAAGAGAGTAGCAGCTTAGAAGCAGACATTATTTCTGCAATCGACTACGCAATTTATGACGGAGTCGACATCCTGTCCATTTCTGCAGGCATGGAAAATACGTACGACTACAACACGGATGGCATTGCAATTGCCGCATTTCATGCAGTCCAGAATGGGATTTTGGTTGTGGCAAGTGGTGGCAATTCGGGACCATATCCGTCCACAATCATTAACACTGCTCCCTGGATTCTGAGTGTGGGAGCAAGCACTATTGACCGGGGTTTCCATGCAAAGATCGTTCTTCCCGACAATGCTACCTCTTGCCAGGTTTGCAAAATGGCTGTATGAACCTTCATTTTTGAAGTTTTTGGACAGGCAACGCCATCACAGCACCGGACCGGTTCTGAAGTTGGATTGCATAGAATTGCCTCTGGAGAGGATGGGTATGCATACATTCGGACACTAGTATCTCTCTGATGAGGTGAATTCTCTGCAGCTATTGCACAGAAGCGAGATTGAATGGTACCACCCTGAGAGGGAAGTATGTCCTTTGCTTTGCTTCCAGCGCCGAGCTTCCCGTGGACATGGATGCTATCGAAAAGGCTGGAGCCACCGGAATTATAATCACCGATACAGTCAGATCGATAACAGGAAGCTTGTCGCTCCCTATATTTGTAGTTCCAGTGCATGCGGTGTGCAGCTCTTAGGTCACAGATCACATGAGAAGTAAGCCAGATCGATCTTGTTTATCTTCATCATTTGAACTTGCCTACCTCAATTGCAGATCGTCAACGATCTATATCCATCCACCTGAAACTGTGACCGGGATTGGACCAGCCCCTGCTGTTGCAACCTTCTCAGCCAGGGGACCAAACCCAATTTCTCCTGATATTCTGAAGGTTTGTGAGTCCTTTGGTTTTCAAATTGATATATCACCGGCATTGCAGCCTGATATCATTGCTCCTGGCGTTGACATAATCGCTGCTATTCCTCCAAAAAGCCATTCAAGCAGCTCAGCAAAGAGTTTTGGAGCGAAGAGTGGCACGTCCATGTCCTGTCCTCACGTTTCCGGTGTTGCGGCTTTGCTTAAATCCTTGCATCCAGATTGGAGCCCCTCCGCAATCAAGTCTGCAATTATGACAACAGGTATGTGGGTTTTGCAAGCTCTGTCCTGAAGTATCACGCTTGCAGCTTGGAACATGGACAACACAAGGGATATAATAACTGATAGTTTCACACTAAGTTATTCCAACCCCTTCGGATATGGTGCAGGACACATCAATCCAACCAAAGCAGCAGATCCAGGCCTTGTTTACGTTACCACTCCTCAAGACTATGCTCTCTTCTGCTGCAGTCTGGGCAGCATTTGCAAGATTGAACACTCCAAATGCTCGTCTCAGACTCTAGCAGCCACTGAGCTGAACTATCCCTCGATAACAATCTCCAATCTGGTGGGAGCCAAAACAGTGAAAAGAGTTGTGACAAACGTAGGGACACCATGCTCAAGTTACAGGGCAATCGTGGAAGAGCCGCATAGCGTCAGAGTTACAGTCAAACCGGACATTCTCCATTTCAACAGTTCCGTGACAAAGCTGTCTTATGAGATCACGTTTGAGGCTGCTCAAATAGTTCGTTCAGTGGGGCACTATGCTTTTGGCTCCATCACTTGGTCAGATGGCGTCCATTATGTACGGAGCCCCATTAGTGTCCAGGTAAACGATTTCATTCGTGCTTGACTGGGTGGTAAATAAACGACGAAATAAATGTTTCTTGCATCCTAAGCGAGAATCATCTATGGTATGAATATAAACCATAAGACTTGCCCCTCTTTGATTTCAAAAGCAATTCAATGTTTCGTGAAGCCCCAAACCATTTACCATTTCAGTTGGCGAGTGCAACTGTGTTGTAAATCATTGCCTTTGTTCCAAAGCTATCAACAACGTGGGACTATTCCAGAAAACTACGACTTGCGATCAGGAATTGTTGACTCTTGACGATAGCCTGCTGCTTGTAGCGCTCGTGTCCACCATCGGTCTCCCAATCTGTTTCCAACAGTTCTTCAATCAATTGTAGAGGATAGCGATTCCAGACAGTGAAGTCGATCACCAGGCTGCCGTCCTAAGATGGGTGCTCCAGTTGGAGATTGAATGAAGCCTGAAGCAAAATTCTCCTCAATATCGTACTGGCAGTGGACCCTTTGACTCTTGTAAAAGTCAACATAGTATTATCTTCAAATTATGTGAGCACAATGAGCTCCTCATTCTTTAGACACCACATTTTCTTAACTATTAAGTTTGTTTAACAGGTGTCAAGCTCAAAGCTACGTGTTGGAATCGACGTAGAACAGGTTTCCTTTCATCCCGAGAGCCCTCCCCCAAACTTGCTGAGAGATCCTTCCATCCCAAATGGTGAGGTCGGTGCCCGCCAATGAGAATCACATTCCTTCCGCAGTTGCCAGGCGAAGTGTTGCTTCCGGTAAGAAACTCGAATACAGAAAAGATCTCTATACGAATGCATTGCTCCAGCATGGAAGAGCTACGCCATAGCAGCGACACTGGGTGTTCTTCTCTCGTGGGCTTACTTGTCTGGAGTGAAGGCTCCGCCTCCTCGAATTTGCGGGCAGCCGAATGGACCTCCAGTGACCGCTCCAAGGATTGTTCTTAGTGATGGTAGAAAATTGGCTTACAGTGAAAGAGGGGTTCCAAAGGAACAAGCAAAACACAAACTCATTGTTGTGCATGGCCTTGAAGGGTCCAGACACCAATCCCTTTCACTGGTATCACAGGTATGGTTTCTAGGATTTTCCAAGTTCGGTTTTAAGAATGAAACAAGCAACTCTTCTCATTAACTTCCACCGTGTTTTGGTCTTTCCTAGGAGCTTCTCGAGGAGCTGAGTGTGTACATGGTGTCTTACGATCGAGCCGGTTATGGACAGAGCGACCCAAATCCAACACGAACCGTGAAGTCGGAGGCTTTCGACGTTGAAGAACTCGCAGACCAACTTGAGCTGGGGCCAAAGTTTTACTTGGCATCTATCTCGATTGGAGGCTACACCGCTTGGTCTTGCCTTTACTACATCCCCCACAGGTAAAACGTTCATTCCATGTCTCATAGTTCTTTTCGTTTCGTTGTTCGGAGAACTAACTTTTCGCTATAGATTGGCTGGAGTTTTGATGTTCTCGCCCGTCACAAACTTCTGGTGGTCGAAGCTCCCATCCCGGGAAGCCTACAATGCGTTTCACACGCAGGCCATTGGAGACAAGCTCGCGCTGCTCGTCGCTCACTACACCCCTTCCTTCCTCTACTTTTGGATGACACAAAAGCTTCTCCCAACCTCGAGCACCATGGGAGCGCTCCACTTACATTGCAACCCAATGGACAGGGACACAATACTCGGAGGAAAACCGGATCCTGCTGTAAGTTTCAATACTCCCGATTGTTTCTATGATACTCATGTAGTTTTCATCGTCCAGATTGCCGAAGAGGCAATGCAGCAGGGGATCTTCGAGTCGAAAATACGCGACAAGATGGTCATGTTTGGCAACTGGGAGTTCGACCCCTCGGAAGTCCCGGATCCATTCCCGAGCAAGAATGGGTCGGTTCACATATGGCAGGGTGACGAAGACTGTCTCGTCCCTGTGGCGTTGCAGCGCGCTGTCCATCGATCCCTCCCGTGGATCCAGTATCATGAACTTGCCGGGGTTGGGCATTTGCTCCATGCTGCGCCGGGTGTGACTGAGAAAGCATTTCGCCAGCTCTTCCAATCATCCTGATACCCAATGAACACGTCACTGTGGATGTAAAATATGCTAATTTACAAAAATGTTTTACGGCCTTTCATTGACTTCGCATTGACGCTGTTGACTTTACATTGACCATGTTGACTTTCATAGAGCTTCGACACCATGGAGGGGAAAATGCTGGAATCTTAGCGTTCCAGCTTCTCGGGAGCAATGCTCTTGCTTTTTCAAACGCTGGCCAGCAAGAGATCATACCCAGCGCCATCCCTGGCATCCATCCTCACCAGATTCTCAAACGCGGCTCTGGCGAGATCATAGCTCTCCCACCGCCGGCAAGAGCTCAAGATCGTCCTCCACGCCACCGCATTCGCCCGGAAGGGCATCGATCGCAGCAGCTCCACCGCGGCATCCAGCTCGTTGGCTCGACCCAAGAGATCCACCATGCACACGTAGTGCTCCATCTCCGGCTCCACGCCATACCTCTCCGCCATCGCTGCGAAGAACTCCTTCCCCTTCTCCACCAGCCCGCCGTGGCTACACGCCGCCAGCACGCTCTGGATCGTCACGGCGTTGGGCGCCACTCCGTCCTCGACCATCGCTCCAAACAGCGCGATCGCGCGCTGGGACTCGCGGCTGTGGGCGGTGATGATCGACGTCCACGCGATCACGCCTCTGGATCCAGCGCCATCGAAGATGCGATCCGCGAGGAGGAGAGCTCCACACTTTCCATACGCGTCCACCAGCGCCGCCACTAGAATCTCCTCCTCCGCCAGCCCCGACCGGCAAATCTCGCCATGGATCACTCGCGCGGCGTCCAGCGCCGCCGCCATCGCCGCCGCCTTGAGCCCCGCCGCGTAGCAGTGAGCGTCCGGCGCGATGGAGCTCGCGCTCGCGAGGATCATGCTCCAGAAGAGATCCAGCGCCGCTCCAGCCTCGCCACTCTCGCAGCACGCCAGCAGCAGCGACGTGATCGCCACCACGTCGCAGCGATCGATCGACTGGAAAGCTCGCCGCGCGTCGTCCAAGCTCCCACACTTGGAGTAGAGATCCACAAGCGAGCTCGCCACCTTGCTCGAGACGGCTAAAGCTTGGGAGTGTAGCTCCATCCCTCTCTCCAGAGCTCCAAGCTTGACGAGTTTGCCCTCGTCCATCTCCACGCTCTCCTCACGGGCCGCCATAGCCATGCAAGCTTTGAGCGCTGGAAGAAGAATGGAGCCACTGCCGCCACCGCCGCCACTTGGATCTTGTCTCATCCATTCTAGAGCTAGCTCCACGGCGAGCTCGGGCACCTCGTTCTCGGCATAGCCGAGCACCAAAACGTTCCACGACACGGAAGTGTGAGCCGGCATCCTATCGAAAACCCGGCGAGCATCGACCAAGCTTCCACACTTTGCGTACATTCCCACCAAGCTGTTGGCCACGAAGGTGTCCGAGTCTTGTGAAGATCTCGCTGCCTGAGAGTGAATCGCCATCCCGGTTTCCAAAGCTTCCAGCTTTCTCGCATCAAACGCTCGGGAGCTTCTTGCCAAGACTTTCTTTCTTCTATCAACCTGGACGCTCTTTCCCGGGAAAGTTTCCATCCTTCTTCCATCGATCTGTGAGCTATCTTCCTGTTGAGAGCTCCTTGCCGAGGCTTCCATCTTCCTCCCATCCATCTGCGGCTTTCTTTCTGCCTTTGTTCTGTCTCTCTGCGAGGCGATTGTCGTGCAAGCCTTGAGAGCAGCGACGAAAGCTCGAGCATTGGGAGCGCAGCCCCGGCGTTGCATGCTCCCAAACAGCTCAAGCGCCGTCTCTCCCTGCCCGTTGTCCGCGTAGCCGAGCATGAGAGCGGTGTAAGTCACAACGTCGCAGCTGGGCATCTTGTCGAAAACTCGCCGAGCCAGCACCAAGCTCCCACACTTTGCGTACATGTCCACGAGACTGCTCGTCACAAAAGCGTCCGACTCGCAGTGCACCATCGCTGCCTGTGAGTGAATTTCGAGGCCTTGCTCCAGAGCTCGCAACTTCAAACGAGCTCCGTCGTGACTTTGTTGCTCAGCTTCTTTCGCTGCCAAGTTACTGCAAGCTCTGAGGGCGGCCACGAAAGTTCCAGCATTTGGAGCGTAGCCTCCGAGTTTCATGTTGAAGAAGAGCTTGAGAGCGAGCTCTTCTTCGCCATTGCTTGCGTATCCCAGCATGAGAGCGTTCCAGAGAACCGTGTCCTGGTTGAGAGTCGAGTTGAAAACCTTTAGTGCCTCCCCCATGCTCTCGCATTTTGCGTACATGTTGATCAAGGAGGTGGCGATGAATGTGTCCGACTGCAGCCCGATCTCGGTGGCTCGAGAGTGAAGGATTTTTCCCGTGCGGAGGTCTCTTGAGCTCGTGCATACCTTCAGCGCAGCAAGTAACTTGGATCTCGCTGCTCCGTTTGCAAGCATACAAGGATGCAAAGGCTGCAAAACAAAGACATGACAAAATGATGAAGCATTCACTAATGCTTTAGCTGAATGAAAGTGCAAGGTACCTATATCACTGTTGAAGGCATTTGGGTCGAAGCAGCGCAATCCAAAAGAGCAGCAAAACTTCATCTATCTGCAACAAAACCCTAGAGAAGTTCCTCCAACAGAAGTCTTAGTCTTTGTTGTCAATCTTTCAATTAAGAGATTAAATAAAAGAATCGTCTTGAAGTACCTATCTTTCACTCTGCGATGGAAATTGCAACCGCAGTTCCGATTCCACAGGTTAATGCAAACAGCTGGAGCAATGTGCTCTTGATAGAGCTTCCTTGCTGATGCATTTCAGGTATAACTCCTGCCAAGGAGATGTACAAAAAGCCTCCGGCCGTGAACGCCTGCAAGAGTTTCTAAAAGTCAGTTGCGGTCCATCTCGTAAGATTTTAATACCTCAATCACCGATGACTGCTCGGGATTGGCCCCAAAAACCAGCGCCTGGATTGAGTTTCAACCATGTGAACACCACAAAACCGAAATGGCTAGCTAGCTACACATACCACGGCAGTGCCAGCCAAAGCAACCAACGCAGACAAAAAGTTGAATGCCAAAGCCTTGAAAACAGTGAAGCCAGATCTTACAAGAATTCCAAAATCTCCAACCTGAAATATACGAGCGATTAAGAAAGCAGCAATGCCAAGAGAGTTATAACCTCTTGAGGAAGCTCGTGGACAAGAAGGAAGAACGTTCTGGACCAGCCTCCTTTTGTTCCATATAGAAGAAAAGCTGCTCCTATCGCCATTCCGTCGGTGAAGTTATGCTGCGAAAATAATGAGCTTAAAGCATGATAGGAGCATTCCAAAGCTGCAACCATACCACTCCGTCGGAGAACAGGTTCAGATAACCCAGCACAAGTTTAGATCCATCAGCGTTCTTCTGTGCTTTTTTCTTCTTGGAATTTTTTGGAGGGATCTTTTCAGTTTCCTGAAGCGAAGTTTGTTCGTTGAGGCGAAACAAAAGAGCTTCAGGAAAAACTTACAGAACTTTTGTCGCAGTCAGGTGCATTACCATCATTTTTTTTGGGATGGTGGTGATGTGAATGCGAAGTTTGAAAACCGTGCTCCTCGACGTAGCGCACTATCTTCTCAACCATGAAGAACAGTAAAATTCCGGCTGCGCAGAAGCATACTACTGTTATCAGAAAACTTCTTACAACAATTTTACGTACCGAGAACACAAAGTCCAGTTGAGATCTCCTTAAGCGAATGAGCGTGACCTCCGTTATCATGATCGTGTGAATGATGGGAATGAGAGTGCGAATGCGTAGAATGGCTTGAATCTCCAAACGCGTGAGGCAGCTGGTGGAGGAACGCATCGCCCATCATGGCACCTCCCTGCCGGTAAAATTCTAAGACCTGTTCTAAATAACCAGGTTCAAGAACTTACTCCAAATGCCGCCAAAGTGTTCACAAAATTCGCAGGAGGAGGTCCTTTAGCAGTAGGCAACGTACTAAAGCGAATCGTATTCTCTATACTTGTTTTTGGTAAGCCTTTCGAGTGATTAGATTGATGATGCAAGTGACTTTCTTTCTGTCTCTGTAGGAAATCGAATTACAAGACAAACTGCTGTAGGCACGACGATGGCAATCGGTGGAGTTGCCTTCTACTCTTTTGCAAAAGCTAAACTAGACGAGATGAAACAACGAGCTCTTATGAATCAAAAGCATTAGTTTTGGATTTGGTCTACCCGCCTCGACTGCATCACCATGCAATTGACATGCTAGGCTGAGAACATCGTGGACTGGAAAGCTATCTTCTTTGACCAAACTGGACTCGAGTCAAGAAAGGCTAACGAACGCTACCTTGTGTCCAGCTTCATCCACCTTGGGCCGCAAACTTGAAGCCCCAAGAGAAGACGTTTTTGTCGGCGATGGCATCGTGCGCTTGCCATACATGTCCACCAGAGGATTGCCGATACTGGTGGAGTGGCGGCCATGGAATCGCAGCTGCGCTTGGATGCGTCCCACATTTCGACACAAGGGACCCAAACTCCTCCGCATCGATCACAATGTCCGTGCTCCTGGAGCGCTGGATCTCTTCCATCGAATACTGGAGCTGGACGACTTGGTCCACTCCACCGCGCTCCAATCCAATCGCTCGTGGTCCTCAAGTGGACCAGATCATTGAGCCATGAGAGCTGGCGCTGGAGAACGCCATCCTGGAGATGTATGCACGGTCATGCCCACACCGACTTGGCGAGCAGGAGCGTCTTGGATGCTTCTAACTTAGATATTTAATTCAAAACATATAAGAGATCTACCAGCGATTTTGCCGACGCTCCACAGGGAGGAGCACCGCCAATCCAATGAATCTAGTAAAGCGCAACATTGATAGCGATGGAAATGAAAAAGTCAGGGATCACTCGATCCTAGTTTCTATCGCATCCCTCGATGATGAGGAGCTGATCTTACTGATCTCTACCACGGCATCTTGTTCCACATACACACATGGGACACTGTACAAAGCTCTATCGTGCCTCTCTATCTTGATCCACCACGATTCCCACTTCGACCTTCACGCGTGAAAGAATGAGAGATCTCAAGCTCGAGTCTGCAAATCAACTCAAAACGATAAGAACCCAGAAAGATAACAAAGAGCATCTGCGCTCTACCTTGGTCTCCATGGCGACCACAAGCTTGGAAGGAGCCATTTCTATGGTAAACAAGAGAAAGAATAAGAAAAACGAAGGGGCAGGCTCCCATTGATAAAGGCCGAGGGGTCACATACTCACATAAAGGCTGGCACAGACTTTGAAGAAATGCAAGGTGTTGTTCACTGAGTGGCCAAGAGATGACGTTGATAACCATGGTAGCACCACCATTTGGTTCACTCGATAAAATAAAAAGTTTTCTATGTTAGTGTGGAATCGAGGACATGGTTGATCAGGAGAAGAAAGATGGCAGATAATATCATTAGACGCGAGCAACGTGGGCTCGCAGCAATCCTTATTTGCTCGAACATTGCGTTCTGGTAAAGGTGACGTTCGTGGGACAGCCGCATTCGCTGGTACAAGTCAAAGGCGAGGTCACCGTAGCCATTGACGGAGTACGCAGCGATCAAGCTGTTCCAGGATACAACATCCTTGCGTGGCATTGTTTCGAAAGTTGTCCTGGCGTCGCCCAAGCTCGCGCACCTCGCTGACGAGGGCGTTCCGGATTTGAGCTTCGTTCTCTCGGCTGCCGCTCGTCGCAAAGCTCTCTTCGAAATTGGAGTGGATCAGCCTCGTGGTGTGCAAGTCGACTGGTCCCGTGCAAGCGTTCATGATCGAGAGAGGCAACGTCGTTTGCCCTCGAGCTCCATTCTCTGGTAGAGCTGAAGCGATTCCGAGTTGAGACCCTGATGGCGTTCCAAAGATCATGTCGCACGATTCTTTGAACACGCTCCGTTTCCACAGATGCTCATCAAAGAGTTGCAAACAACAGTGTCGGAGGACACTCGAAGGCCCCTAGAGCTCCATACGCGAGTAGATGCCGAGAGCTTCCATGAAGCCCGAGAAAGACGCATAGGCGACGATGAGAGTGTTCCGGGAGATCACGCCGGGGTGGTCCGGGACACCCCTGATTCAAGTGATGTCATATCCTAGATAAAAGAGCCTGTAATGTAACGTATTGTCTCTTTGTATTGCCAGTAAACTATTTCAACCACAATGCTCATTGTGGGGGCAAGAAAAGCAAGCAAGCATACGCAGAGTTGTCCACCTGCACCAGACAGGGACTCTTAACTTAGACTCCACCTCAGCTCCTCCATAATATACTTGTCATTAATTCAAACCTTTGATCTTTTTCAAGAGATATTTTGAGAAACAGAAAAATCTGGTGACCTGCTGATGCCCAGTGCGGGCAATCCAAAGATACACGAGCACCTACACGACGCTTCTTTCATGCTGTGACGATCAGGGCGATGGAGATGCTTGTGTCGTGAGGGCTGGGATCGAATGGGACGTCGCCATGTCCACTGCATTGGGGCGCTTCTGCTCAGTGGACTCGACCTTAAAAACTCCCAAGCTTAAAAGTCTTAGCAATGATGGAACAGCGTAGCTCTTCCATGCTAGAGCACTGACTTCTCCAGCCAGCCAAGCTTCCTGGAGTGATTCCTTAGAATCTCTGTGGCACACACTCCTCAAGGAGCGACCGAACAAGGTTGCCCTGCTCCAGAGCCAAGCAAGACCTCGCCAGCCTAAGGAACGCTACCTTATGTGTCCTTGCTTCGCTCACTCCCTCTACCCTCTTTGCTGCTAGCGTAGGCCGTGATCAAGAATCCCAATAGAAGACGTATGCGCGTGCGTCGTGCGCGCTGCCATATGGAATCGCAGCTGCCTGCTTCTGCCACTTAAACATAGAAAATATTCTAATTGTTTAGAGAATATTCACAGCTAAGCACATCGGCACCGTTGATCGTTGATCACATCCCAGCCGTCGGCGAAACGCCATCCCAGCCGATGATTATTTGTCCTAGAACTGTCTTTCAGCACTTTGCAACCTGCCTCGGCCTGATATCTTAATTGTAGAGGTCTGTTTGTGGCTGAATTTCCAGGCGTCATTCTCGCATCAGCATACTCATACCAGTACCACATTAAGTGTAAAGCCAGTGCCACATACCGCCTCATAAACAGCAGATTCACCACTTCAGGCTTGCATACATTTGTAGAATTAATCACCACAAGTATCTTAAAAGTAAAGGCTCCAGGTTGAATTGACACATATTCTTCTATCCGCACTAAGAGATTACGCAGCTTTGAACAGGAACGGCTTGTTCATCGACTTTCTTCGTAGAGAGAATGTTTTTACATGCAGGATCATCGATGGACGAAGCCTAATGTGCTTCTCGATTTTATTTTTCATCTGCAATGAGTACTGTGCATTGTTCCTGTTCGATCCTGCAATCAAAGTTCTGCTGCAGTGAATTGCTGGGGAAGTGGCAGCACTACAACCCCATTGGCTGTTTGCGGCTCCACTACTAGTGGTCGGATTCAAATCGCAACTAAAGAAAATTCGAGTGCCTGGAGGCCCACACAGTACATCTGATCAGAATGCTGAGCCTCTATATCAACCCCCGGGTATGCTCGGAAAGCAGCTAGGGATTTTCCATTGCATTGCACTCCTGAAGAATGGGACCACTAATCGCTTTTCTTATTCTTCTGGCTCAAATCCAGTGCTCGATGGGAGAGGTAAGTATTTTATTGAGTCTACATCGGTCGCTAACTGGTGCCATCGTAGGTTTATATAGTCTACATGGGGAAGAAAACCGTCAAAGACCACGAACTGGTAACGAAATCCCATCACGAAACGCTGGCCAGTGTGTTGGGAAGTGAAGATTTGGCAAAAGGTGCTATCTTGTACAGCTACCGGCATGGATTCAGCGGTTTCGCAGCAGATATGAATCCAAGGCATGCAAAAGCTTTGTCCAGTAAGTGGCTGTGCTCTCAGTTTTCAGGCTAATACTTCTGCAACAGAGATGCCTGGAGTTGTGTCTGTGTTCCACAGCAAAAAGGTGAAGCTGCATACAACTCACAGCTGGGACTTCCTTGGACTGGATGTCATGAAGCCCACAGGCATTTTGCAAGAATCTGGCTTCGGAGTGGACGTAATTGTTGGGGTTGTGGATTCAGGTGTTTGTTAAGTTTCACATTCTAGTGTGCAGCAGATACCAAAATTTCGGAACTTTTCTGCAGGTGTATGGCCTGAAGCTGAGAGTTTCAATGACAAATCAATGCCAGCAGTTCCCACAAGATGGAAGGGAATATGTCAAATAGGCGAGAACTTCACGGCTTCAAACTGTAATAGGTTCGTTGTTGGGACCTCCGAGTGACTTGGAACTTGGAAGTATAGCCGTTTACTCTATGAATGCAGGAAACTTATAGGAGCTCGATATTTCGACCAAAATGTGGATCCTAGCGTGGAGGACTATAGATCACCCAGAGACAAAGACTCTCACGGCACGCATACATCGTCGACCGCTGTAGGCAGGCTCGTTTACGGAGCCAGCGATGATGAATTTGGCAGCGGAATAGCTCGTGGTGGAGCACCAATGGCCAGGCTTGCAGTGTACAAATTCTATGAAGAGAGTAGCAGCTTAGAAGCAGACATTATTTCTGCAATCGACTACGCAATTTATGACGGAGTCGACATCCTGTCCATTTCTGCAGGTGTGGATAATACGTACGACTACAACACGGATGGCATTGCAATTGCCGCATTTCATGCAGTCCAGAATGGGATTTTGGTTGTGGCAAGTGGTGGCAATTCGGGACCATATCCGTCCACAATCATTAACACTGCTCCCTGGATTCTGAGTGTGGGAGCAGGCACTATTGACCGGGGTTTCTATGCAAAGATCATTCTTCCCGACAATGCTACCTCTTGCCAGGTTTGCAAAATGGCTGTACGAACCTTTTTAAATGTTTTTAGACAGGCAACGCCATTACAGCATCGGACCGGTTCTGAAGTTGGATTGCATAGAATTGCCTCTGGAGAGGATGGGTATGCATACATTCGGACACTAGTATCTCTCTGATGAGGTGAATTCTCTGCAGCTATTGCACAGAAGCGAGATTGAATGGTACCACCCTGAGAGGGAAGTATGTCCTTTGCATTGCTTCCTTGGACCTAGATGCTATCGAAAAGGCTGGAGCCACCGGAATTATAATCACCGATACAGCCGGATTGATACCGATAACAGGAACCTTGTCGCTCCCTATATTTGTAGTTCCCAGTGCATGCGGTGTGCAGCTCTTAGGTCACAGATCACATGAGAGGTAAGCCAGATCGATCTTGTTTGAACTTGCCTACCTCCAATTGCAGATCGTCAACGATCTATATCCATCCACCTGAAACTGTGACCGGGATTGGACCAGCCCCTGCTGTTGCAACCTTCTCATCCAGGGGACCAAACCCAATTTCTCCTGATATTCTAAAGGTTTGTGAGTCATTTGGTTTCCAAATTCAAACATCTGATATATCACCGGCATTGCAGCCTGATATCATTGCTCCTGGCGTTGACATAATCGCAGCTATTCCTCCAAAAAGCCATTCAAGCAGCTCAGCAAAGAGTTTTGGAGCGATGAGCGGCACGTCCATGTCCTGTCCTCACGTTTCCGGTGTTGCGGCTTTGCTTAAATCCTTGCATCCAGATTGGAGCCCCTCCGCAATCAAGTCTGCAATTATGACAACAGGTATGTGGGTTTTGCAAGCTCTGTCCTGAAGTATCACGCTTGCAGCTTGGAACATGGACAACACAAGGGATATAATAACCGATAGTTACACACTAAGTTATTCCAACCCCTTCGGATATGGTGCAGGACACATCAATCCAACCAAAGCAGCAGATCCAGGCCTTGTTTACGTTACCACTCCTCAAGACTATGCTCTCTTCTGCTGCAGCCTGGGCAGCGTTTGCAAGATTGAACACTCCAAATGCTCGTCTCAGACTCTAGCAGCCACTGAGCTGAACTATCCCTCGATAACAATCTCCAATCTGGTGGGAGCCAAAACAGTGAAAAGAGTTGTGACAAACGTAGGGACACCATACTCAAGTTACAGGGCAATCGTGGAAGAGCCGCATAGCGTCAGAGTTACAGTCAAACCGGACATTCTCCATTTCAACAGTTCCGTGACAAAGCTGTCTTATGAGATCACGTTTGAGGCTGCTCAAATAGTTCGTTCAGTGGGGCACTATGCTTTTGGCTCCATCACTTGGTCAGATGGCGTCCATTATGTACGGAGCCCCATTAGTGTCCAGGTAAACGATTTCATTCGTGCTTGACTGGGTGGTAAATAAACGACGAAATAACTGTTTCTTGCACCCTAAGCGAGAATCATCTATGGTATGAATATAAACCATAAGACTTGCCCCTCTTTGATTTCAAAAGCAATTCAATGTTTCGTGAAGCCCCAAACCATTTACCATTTCAGTTGGCGAGTGCAACTGTGTTGTAAATCATTCATGTTGCCTTTGTTCCAAAGCTATCAACAACGTGGGACTATTCCAGAAAACTACGACTTGCGATCAGGAATTGTTGACTCTTGACGATAGCCTGCTGCTTGTAGCGCTCGTGTCCACCATCGTCTCCCAATCTGTTTCCAACAGTTCTTCAATCAATTGTAGAGGATAGCGATTCCAGACAGTGAAGTCGATCACCAGGCTGCCGTCCTAAGATGGGTGCTCCAGTTGGAGATTGAATGAAGCCTGAAGCAAAATTCTCCTCAATATCGTACTGGCAGTGGACCCTTTGACTCTTGTAAAAGTCAACATAGTATTATCTTCAAATTATGTGAGCACTAGACACCACATTTTCTTAACTATTAAGTTTGTTTAACAGGTGTCAAGCTCAAAGCTACGTGTTGGAATCGACGTAGAACTGGTTTCCTTTCATGCCGAGAGCTCTCCCCCAAACTTGCTGAGAGATCCTTCCATCCCAAATGGTGAGGTCGGTGCCCGCCAATGAGAATCACATTCCTTCCGCAGTTGCCAGGCGAAGTGTTGCTTCTCACTGGTATCACAGGTATGGTCTCTAGGATTTTCCAAGTTCGGTTTTAAGAATGAAACAAGCAACTCTTCTCATTAACTTCCATCGTGTTTTGGTCTTTCCTAGGAGCTTCTCGAGGAGCTGAGTGTGTACATGGTGTCTTACGATCGAGCCGGTTATGGACAGAGCGACCCAAATCCAACACGAGCCGTGAAGTCGGAGGCTTTCGACGTTGAAGAACTCGCAGACCAACTTGAGCTGGGACCAAAGTTTTACTTGGCATCTATCTCGATTGGAGGCTACACCGCTTGGTCTTGCCTTTACTACATCCCCCACAGGTAAAACGTTAATTCCATGTCTCATAGTTCTTTTCGTTTCGTTGTTCGGAGAACTAACTTTTCGCTATAGATTAGCTGGAGTTTTGATGTTCTCGCCCGTCACAAACTTTTGGTGGTCGAAGCTCCCATCCCGGGAAGCCTACAATGCGTTTCACACGCAGGCAATTGGAGACAAGCTCGCGCTGCTCGTCGCTCACTACACCCCCTCCTTCCTCTACTTTTGGATGACACAAAAGCTTCTCCCAACGTCGAGCACCATGGGAGCGCTCCACTTACATTGCAACCCAATGGACAGGGACACAATACTCGGAGGAAAACCGGATCCTGCTGTAAGTTTCAATACTTCCGATTGTTTCTATGATACTCATGTAGTTTTCATCGTCCAGATTGCCGAAGAGGCAATGCAGCAGGGGATCTTCGAGTCGAAAATACGCGACAAGATGGTCATGTTTGGCAACTGGGAGTTCGACCCCTCGGAAGTCCCGGATCCATTCCCGAGCAAGAATGGGTCGGTTCACATATGGCAGGGTGACGAAGACTATCTCGTCCCTGTGGCGTTGCAGCGCTATGTCCATCGATCCCTCCCGTGGATCCAGTATCATGAACTTGCCGGGGTTGGGCATTTGCTCCATGCTGCGCCGGGTTTGACTGAGAAAGCATTTCGTCAGCTCTTCCAATCATCCTGATACCCTGGATGTAAACATATGCTAATTTACAAAAAAGTTTTAACAGCCTTTCATTGACTTCGCATTGACTATGTTGACTTTGCATTGACCATGTTGTAGAGAGCTGGAGGGGCAAATGTAGCGTTCCAGCTTCTCGGGAGCAATGCTATGGCTTCTTCAAACGCTGGCCAGCAAGAGATCATACCCAGCGCCATCCCTGGCATCCATCCTCACCAGATTCTCAAACGCGGCTCTGGCGAGATCATAGCTCTCCCACCGCCGGCAAGAGCTCAAGATCGTCCTCCACGCCACCGCATTCGCCCGGAAGGGCATCGATCGCAGCAGCTCCACCGCGGCATCCAGCTCGTTGGCTCGACCCAAGAGATCCACCATGCACACGTAGTGCTCCATCTCCGGCTCCACGCCATACCTCTCCGCCATCGCTGCGAAGAACTCCTTCCCCTTCTCCACCAGCCCGCCGTGGCTACACGCCGCCACCACGCTCTGGATCGTCACGGCGTTGGGCGCCACTCCGTCCTCGACCATCGCTCCAAACAGCGCGATCGCGCGCTGGGACTCGCGGCTGTGGGCGGTGATGATCGACGTCCACGCGATCACGCCTCTGGATCCAGCGCCATCGAAGATGCGATCCGCGAGGAGGAGAGCTCCACACTTTCCATACGCGTCCACCAGCGCCGCCACTAGAATCTCCTCCTCCGCCAGCCCCGACCGGCAAATCTCGCCATGGATCACTCGCGCGGCGTCTAGCGCCGCCGCCATCGCCGCCGCCTTGAGCCCCGCCGCGTAGCAGTGAGCGTCCGGCGCGATGGAGCTCGCGCTCGCGAGGATCATGCTCCAGAAGAGATCCAGCGCCGCTCCAGCCTCGCCACTCTCGCAGCACGCCAGCAGCAGCGACGTGATCGCCACCACGTCGCAGCGATCGATCGACTGGAAAGCTCGCCGCGCGTCGTCCAAGCTCCCACACTTGGAGTAGAGATCCACAAGCGAGCTCGCCACCTTGCTCGAGACGTCTAAAGCTCGGGAGTGTAGCTCCATCCCTCTCTCCAGAGCTCCAAGCTTGACGAGTTTGCCCTCGTCCATCTCCGCGCTCTCCTCACGGGCCGCCATAGCCATGCAAGCTTTGAGAGCTGGAAGAAGAATGGAGCCACCGCCGCCACCGCCGCCACTTGGATCTTGTCTCATCCATTCTAGAGCTAGCTCCACGGCGAGCTCGGGCGCCTCATTCTCGGCATAGCCGAGCACCAAAACGTTCCACGACACGGAAGTGTGAGCCGGCATCCTATCGAAAACCCGGCGAGCATCGACCAAGCTTCCACACTTTGCGTACATTCCCAGCAAGCTGTTGGCCACGAAGGTGTCCGAGTCTTGTGAAGATCTCGCTGCCTGAGAGTGAATCGCCATCCCGGTTTCCAAAGCTTCCAGCTTTCTCGCATCAAACGCTCGGGAGCTTCTTGCCAAGACTGTTTTTCTTCCATCAACCTGGGCGCTCTTTCCCGGGAGAGTTTCCATCCTTCTATCGACCTGTGAGCTATCTTCCTGTTGAGAGCTCCTTGCCGAGGCTTCCATCTTCCTCCCATCCGTCTGCGGCTTTCTTTCTGCCTTTGTTCTGTCTCTCTGCGAGGCGATTGTCGTGCAAGCCTTGAGAGCAGCGACGAAAGCTCGCGCGTTGGGAGCGCAGCCCCGGCTTTGCATGCTCCCAAACAGCTCAAGCGCCGTCTCTCCCTGCCCGTTGTCCGCGTAGCCGAGCATGAGAGCGGTGTAAGTCACAACGTCGCAGCTGGGCATCTTGCCGAAAACTCGCCGAGCCAGCACCAAGCTCCCACACTTTGCGTACATGTCCACGAGACTGCTCGTCACAAAAGCGTCCGACTCGCAGTGCACCATCGCTGCCTGTGAGTGAATTTCGAGGCCTTGCTCCAGAGCTCGCAACTTCAAACGAGCTCCGTCATGACTTTGTTGCTCAGCTTCTTTCGCTGCCAAGTTACTGCAAGCTCTGAGGGCGGCCACGAAAGTCCCAGCATTTGGAGCGTAGCCTCCGAGTTTCATGTTGAAGAAGAGCTTGAGAGCGAGCTCTTCTTCGCCATTTCTTGCGTATCCCAGCATGAGAGCGTTCCAGAGAACCGTGTCCTGGTTGAGAGTCGAGTTGAAAACCTTTAGTGCCTCCCCCATGCTCTCGCATTTTGCGTACATGTTGATCAAGGAGGTGGCGATGAATGTGTCCGACTGCAGCCCGATCTCGGTGGCTCGAGAGTGAAGGATTTTTCCCGTGCGGAGGTCTCTTGAGCTCGTGCATACCTTCAGCGCAGCAAGTAACTTGGATCTCGCTGCTCCGTTTGCAAGCATACAAGGATGCAAAGGCTGCAAAACAAAGACATGACAAAATGATGAAGCATTCACTAATGCTTTAGCTGAATGAAAGTGCAAGGTACCTATATCACTGTTGAAGGCATTTGGGTCGAAGCAGCGCAATCCAAAAGAGCAGCAAAACTTCATCTATCTGCAACAAAACCCTAGAGAAGTTCCTCCAACAGAAGTCTTAGTCTTTGTTGTCAATCTTTCAATTAAGAGATTAAATAAAAGAATCGTCTTGAAGTACCTATCTTTCACTCTGCGATGGAAATTGCAACCGCAGTTCCGATTCCACAGGTTAATGCAAACAGCTGGAGCAATGTGCTCTTGATAGAGCTTCCTTGCTGATGCATTTCAGGTATAACTCCTGCCAAGGAGATGTACAAAAAGCCTCCGGCCGTGAACGCCTGCAAGAGTTTCTAAAAGTCAGTTGCGGTCCATCTCGTAAGATTTTAATACCTCAATCACCGATGACTGCTCGGGATTGGCCCCAAAAACTAGCGCCTGGATTGAGTTTCAACCATGTGAACACCACAAAACCGAAATGGCTAGCTAGCTACACATACCACGGCAGTGCCAGCCAAAGCAACCAACGCAGACAAAAAGTTGAATGCCAAAGCCTTGAAAACAGTGAAGCCAGATCTTACAAGAATTCCAAAATCTCCAACCTGAAATATACGAGCGATTAAGAAAGCAGCAATGCCAGGAGAGTTATAACCTCTTGAGGAAGCTCGTGGACAAGAAGGAAGAACGTTCTGGACCAGCCTCCTTTTGTTCCATATAGAAGAAAAGCTGCTCCTATCGCCATTCCGTCGGTGAAGTTATGCTGCGAAAATAATGAGCTTAAAGCATGATAGGAGCATTCCAAAGCTGCAACCATACCACTCCGTCGGAGAACAGGTTCAGATAACCCAGCACAAGTTTAGATCCATCAGCGTTCTTCTGTGCTTTTTTCTTCTTGGAATTTTTTGGAGGGATCTTTTCAGTTTCCTGGAGCGAAGTTTGTTCGTTGAGGCGAAACAAAAGAGCTTCAGGAAAAACTTACAGAACTTTTGTCGCAGTCAGGTGCATTACCATCATTTTTTTTGGGATGGTGGTGATGTGAATGCGAAGTTTGAAAACCGTGCTCCTCGACGTAGCGCACTATCTTCTCAACCATGAAGAACAGTAAAATTCCGGCTGCGCAGAAGCATACTACTGTTATCAGAAAACTTCTTACAACAATTTTACGTACCGAGAACACAAAGTCCAGTTGAGATCTCCTTAAGCGAATGAGCGTGACCTCCGTTATCATGATCGTGTGAATGATGGGAATGAGAGTGCGAATGCGTAGAATGGCTTGAATCTCCAAACGCGTGAGGCAGCTGGTGGAGGAACGCATCGCCCATCATGGCACCTCCCTGCCGGTAAAATTCTAAGACCTGTTCTAAATAACCAGGTTCAAGAACTTACTCCAAATGCCGCCAAAGTGTTCACAAAATTCGCAGGAGGAGGTCCTTTAGCTGCAAAGATCGAGCTGGTGTTAGAGAAAAAAAAGTTCCATGCGAAGGAAAAAAAAAAGCTCATCGTACAGGAAATCAAAGGGACCGTCGCGAGACAGATGAGAGAAACCAGGCTCACCAATAACGAACTTCCCATCGCGTAAGTCCAGAGCTCTACAGAGGAAAACAAATAGAGTATTAAACTCTACGCTATAACCTATACTACAAAACATACCAAATTTCGAGAGCTCGCTCCTGGAATCCTCAAACACCGAGCTGCCGAATCCAAAGCGCTTGAGATCCTCCTCTTCCGCGAGCTCCTCCGGTAGCAGACTGTGATCGTCGTGATGATGATCATGCGAAGAATGCGAATGAGCATGGTCGCGGGAGTGATGATGCCCGCCATGGCTGCAAGAATGCGAGTGCTCGTGCTCGTGAGCTGAGGCGAGGAGAGATCCGCGCGCTGCCGAGACGACGACGAGCAAAACGAGGGATGCGCGCTCCATGGCGCATCTAGGGCTCCTCTTCTCGAGCAGGGAAATAAAAAACCAGTGACCACGGTGGGATTCGAACCCACGACCTTTGGATTCGAAGTCCAGCGCGCTATCCACTGCGCTACACGGCCTGGCAGAGATCATGGCAAACTGCCAAACTCCCACCGGCAGAGTCAACTCCCTTGGTCAATTTAGTCAACTCTTGCCCCAGTCAAACGAATTCCAAGAGGAGAGAAAGAGAAATCTAGGTCTTGCTCGCCCACCGCGTCGTGAAATTTTGATCTGGGCACTCCAACAAGAGGCGAAGAACACCACATTGAAGGTACTCGCGCGTGAATTCTTAGCTTGGATTGTTCTGGCTTGAATACATATCTTCCCATCTCTACAAAACTTTGTTTTCCAGGTAGATTCTCGTAGAAAGTACGCGCTTCGAAAGAAATGGGCACGAATTCTCTACGCTAAGAAACGTTATCTACTTTTCTCCATACGTATCTCGTTCGTCTCCATTTCTTTCCCAATTTCCACTCGAGGTACGCTATCCTTTGGTCAAAAGCTTCTTTTTTTTCCTTCTTCTTCCTCTTTTGTTCGTGCGTAAGCACTACGTAAGTGTGATCGAGAGATCTCTCGCATGGTTTGGCAGTGAATTCGTGTGCTTGTGTGTGTGTTGCTACCATTGACGGTGGCTGTCGCTGTGGTCCCTCCTTCCACTTTGTCCTTTCTTCCACTCAGTGGAGAACATCTCATTCGTTTTCTGGCGAGAGCTAAAGTTGTGGAGAGATAGCCTGTGCGTGTGTGTGTGTGAGTATGTACTTCTGTTCCTCTTCCTGAGGCTGCCCCCTTTGTTTCTCATTGTTTTTGCTCGTCCCCCTTTTCAACAGGCTCCGGGTTTCCATCGTCGCTGCGCAAAAATGGCTTCTTTTCGCAAGATAGTGCTTGCATCACTACTATCATGCTTGCTCCTCGCCGCTGTTGCCACTGAAACCGAAGGTAGAGCGAGCCTTTCTCTCTTTTGTTTTCTCCTTTTTTACTCTAGAACCGATTGTGTTCCTGATTCTTCCGTGGAATTCTAGCAGATGAGAGCTTGGTGGCTGCACAGGACCAGGTAAATACTCTTGTTTTCTCTTTTTTCGTACTGTTCTTTAGCCGCGTGATAGGATCTCTCTTAACTTTCATTCGTTCGTATTGCATGATCTCACCCCCACTGTGTCTTCGCCTTTAGAGACTAGTAGATGAGGTAAAAATCTCTTTTTTTTGCTGCGTTTCGCCACTGTTCTTCGCGTAATCTCCAGTTCTTAAAGCTCTTCGTTTTCGCCAAGTAACTTATACTTCCTATTCTTCAGGCTCTTAACTTCGAGCGTGGATTCGCCATGGAACAGATGCTATCACGGATCCAGAGCAAAAAGCTTCGTCGCGAGAGAAACTTGGTCCACACAAACGACTACGCCGATCCATCGCCAAACACCGATCCAAAGCGCGGCCCGCCAAAATCCGGATAAGTATAGAACTCTTTTGGAAGCGCGTGTAAATTTACTCTACACGGATATCAAGTCCATGGTTGTTTTTATACATGGCTGACTCTTTGGCTTCCTCAAAGGAAGCATAGTGTGGTTTTGCTGGCCAGCATCAACAATGAATCTATAATATACAAATGGTTTGTGGCTTATAATGCTGGTAGAATAGTGTTCTATCAATTTATAAGCAGCAGCTTGCAGAGAGGCCAGCCACAATATATGACCACTTTGATGGTGTGAGCTGACCGAGTGGAACAAGTGTTGTTGTAAGAGCTAGGGAGAGTTTAAATGTGAGTGTGGAGCTTCCGGAGAAGCATAGAGAAAGCATGGGCGTGTTTGCGAGAAGCATGCGTTTGCTCGTTTGTCTCATGATCTTTGCTGCAGTGTTGATCTCACAAGCTGAAGTTGAAGCTTTCAAGGATGGAACAAAAGGTAACTTTTTCCATGGTTTTCTTCCTGCTAAGATGAATGCAAGCTTAAAAAGAGTCTCTCTTTTTGCTCACAGTGGATAAGGTTTCTTTGCCAAGGAAGGTTGTGAGGAATTTCAAAATGCTGGTAAGTTCATTCTCAGATCTTTTGAGATGTTTAAAATCTGTGGAGCCTTGTTCTGCACTTGCAGGAAGATAAAAAGTACCATTCAATTCATGTCACTGATTACGATGACCCTTCACACAACACACGGCCATGATAAGAGAAAGAACTCGGACCCCCACTGTCTTTCAACTCCTTGTTCTCCCCTTCGACTATCTTTTGTCCTCGTAACTGAGTTTAACAAAATCACTGTTCAGAATATTCTATGATGATTTATATTGCTTAAGAATAATCGAAATCCTTAGTAGTATAATTATGAACTCTTTAAATTCAACATGACATATGATACAGTGGATTACAGTATGTTATATATATAGTTAGTATCAGAAAATAGTATGCAAAAATGGAGGATGCATTTTTTTTTGTCACAATAAGAAATAAATTTACTTAATTTAAATTTTTTGTTCAAAATAAAATATAAAAACAAAAAATTCAAATACGACATATATTTTGTTGTAATCATTAATTAAAGTTTATAATTCAAGGAGGACTTTTTAGTTCCATGCCTAGAATAGAATATAAAGATATATTTATATTTTTAACACATACTCTAGTAGAGCTTTCAATATAATAATTTATATATTATGTAAATTAAATAAATTTTAATCTTACTTAATTTAAAATATATTATATAACTTGATAACTTTACTAAATCAATTTACATATTTTTTTTTTGTAATTATAGTAATATGCCATCAGTTATTTATAGTAATACACACACACAGATATATATATATATATATATATATATATAGGTATTACTATAAATATCATTTTTAAGTTCTTATAATAATTGTTATGTTTTAAAAAATTAAAGCTTTTTAGAATCAGTTAAACATCAATAAATCCTCTATTTTAACTTATTTAAAAGGAAAACAAAATTCTTGAGTTCCTATTGTTTTGGGAGTGTCATCTCCTTCTATCATTGTCTCTTAATCGCCTGCCATCATCATCAACACGGCTCTCCCTTCTCGGAGATCTCTTCCGAGACTCTAACCGAGGCCTTTCACCTCTCGACTCGTCGTGTCGATCGTGTTTCCACTTTGTCTCGTCGTCCGCTCCCCATCCAGTGTTCTTGTTCCTCTGAAGAAACAAGGAAGTTAAAGAGACAAATGTAAACATCTGAACGATTCAACTCACGTTTTCGTCGTGTGAGAACTTGCAGGAATCACCCCGGCTACAGCTTCCGCGCTGGAACTCGTAGCAAACACCGTTTTCTTCTCGTTTCCTCTGCCGCTCTTCCTCGTCTTCCTCTTCTTTCTTCCGATACTTTCTCACATGATCCACACGCAGCGTGCGTCCAGCGACTTGAGCTCCATTCAGATTATCTGTGCATCAAATCATCAATCAGCCAGCAAGTTTCGGAAAAAATCCAGAGAGAGTTACTCACCCACGGCAAGTGTGGTGCTTCGTTGATCTTCGTACGCGAGAAATCCATAGCCCTTTGATTTCCCGGTACCTTTGTCGCGAATTAAATTCACATCGACAACTTCGCCGTACCTATCCCCCCCAAAAAATCGATAAGAGCGAAGAAGCATAGAGATCTAAACGAAAGAATCACTTACTGTGCAAACACCGCAAGAATATCGCCCTCGTTGAGCTCGTAGGCTAGCCCGCCAAAGAAAATGTAGGCCGAATCCTTGTACTCGGCGTGCCAGGATGCAGACTCGGCGATCCCAGACGCACTCTCCCGCGCAGTGATCTTCTGGAGATTCTTCACCTGCGTCAAGGGATTCATCCCTCAAGAACCCTAATTTCAAGAACCCTAACTCAAAGGGCAAAAGGGTGGAGTGAATTGGGTTTATAAGAATATGCGAATCTTAGTTAAAGATTCGCCCTCCACTTTAGCTAACACGTGAGTGACGTACGGCGCGCTCGATCGTGGAGCTTTAAACAAAGGCTAGCTAGAACACGAAAAAAAAGAGACTAGAACGCGGCTAGCGCGAAGTCAAATAAATGAAAATGGAGGAGCCTCTCATAGTTTGTTCCTTGGATCTTCTCATCTTTCGTATAAGATCATGGCAGCGCAGCAGCGTTTACTTGCGATCATTCTCATGGCGATCCTGGGGGGAATTTCGCTGCTAGCAAATTCCATCTCTGGAGCTGGAGCTCGTCCACTGGATCATCAAGGTCTGTGTGAACTTTTCACAATGTTTTCCCTTGAAGATCTTCCATACTTTGTTCTTCCCAGACGATCACTATCGTTCTCTCGTCGAGGAAGACGGGGACTACGCACCGACGTCGAACCAGAGAGACTTCCAGAAGAGCCACGGACCTGTGTCTTCCAAACATCCTGGAAACTAGAGAGTAAGCTCTACACTTTGTCCATCCAGTACCTGTGAAAATCTATGTAGACTATTTCTTCTGTCCAGTAAGTGTTCTACAGTCCCAATTCCCTCTCAAAGTCGTCGTCCTCTTCAAAGAGTTTGATGAAGCGAGCCTGCTGTTCTTCGCGTTTCTTCTGCTGCCACTTCGTGTAGCCGACGATGCCGAGACCCGCGACCATGAGAAAGCTAAAGAGGGCCACCAGCGCTGTGATCGCTGCTCTTCCATGGCCGGAAGAGGGAGCTTGAGGCTCGTCATTGCTAGAACTTGAGTCTGGAGCGTCTAGCAACAAAACGAAAGGAAAGTCATACAAGGAAAGCAAGCAAAGAAGGAAGAACTCTCACCGAGCGACTGAAGAAACGTTGCATTGAATTCACCCTTTTTGAAGTGGAAGTACCGGCCACTCTTGTCGAAATCGTCTGGGCAGAGCTCCCACTCGTCGAAAACGCCGTCCTTGAGGAACTCGTTCTTCTCATACACTCCACACCGCTTGCATCTCACACCGACGAGCGATGTAAGTGGCTGGAAGTAAATAAAATAGACTTGGATGAGAACTCTAGAAAAGAAACGATCGAAGCAAGCAGAAAAAATATCGAGACTAAAACTTGGATGAGAACTTTCGAAAAGAAGCGATGATCATCGAAGCAAGCAAAAAAAATCGAGACTACACTATTTGGAACGAGCAATCTTACTTGCCAGGATTCATGGCCAGCAAATTTATAAATCCGGTCCTTCTCCTTCACATCGGGCAAATCCACCTTGTTCTCGTCCCTACACTTGAAATACAAACTCGGCTTGTGCCCCAGCCATTCGTGCGTCCGAAAAATCGCTAGCGATTCTAGAGTAACATTCTGCGCAGAGATTCCTAGACAAGAAAAATCAACAATCTCGCCTAGAAATCGCCAGAAACCATCGATCACACGCACCTAGGCAGCAGCTGATGATCTCCAGCGCGCAGAGCGCGATCCAGCAGCGAAGAGCGCCCATTCTCCTCCCAAACCCTAATTTCCCCGATATATTCTTTTAATATTCTTTAAGATTCTATTTGAGCTGCCGCCTTGGCATTTGGCCAGCGTTTAGGGTTCCTCGATGGAGCCATCGCCGACGATGCTGGATCCCGGCGTGGGAGTTCTATCCCCGGGCGTGGCGTCGGGCGCGGGGATCACATCCGGATTCCCGCAGTGCGTCGCGGCGACGAGCGCTGGCGCGGGATTCAAGCAGAATGTCTTCATCCTCCGCCACGGCGAGCGCCGGGACGATGTCGACAAGGAGTGGCTCGCGAATGCGTCGCGTCCCTGGGATCCGCCGCTCACCGATGCGGGTAAGAAGCAGGCCTGGAATGCGGGGAAGAAGCTCCGGCTCGCGGGATTTGAGATCAACAGAGTTTTGATCTCCCCGTATCTTAGATGCGTCCAAACGGCCGCCGAGGCGATCATGGCGCTTTGCGTGAATCAGACCGATCTGGGGAACGATAGCAGCACTGGAGTTGTGATTGATCCCTCCAAGGTGAAGGTAAGCAAGCAAGAACTTTTCTCTTCTTCTCTCCCTTGTGCTTTTCGTCTCAAACTTTTCTCTTTTCTTGTCTTTCTGGGAGTGCTTGATCTCAAACTTTTGCTTTGTTTTCCATAGGCGTCGATCGAGTTTGGTCTCTCGGAGGTCATGAACAGCATTGCTATAAGATTTCCACGCTCCTCTCCGGATGTTCCTTGGATACTTGATCTTGGCGAACTCCAGTCACTGCTGCCCGCTGGAACTCTGGATGCAGTGGCACAGTCTATGTGGCCACAGGTACTGTTCTTTCGCTTTTCAAGGAGAAAAGAAGTGATTTTTTCGTCCTTTTAGCTGCCAGAATGGCCAGAGGAAACCGAGGCTTCTCATGTGAGATACGGGAAAACTTTCCGAGCGGCCGCTGATAGGTTCCCCGGAGAGAACATCCTGTGCGTTACACACGGTACTTTTCTATTCTTCTTGGCCCTGTCAACCGAGAAACGATAAGATCACGCGAAGAACTTTCCGTGTTTCTCATCATTGGTTTTGGTTTTGCTTGCTTCCAGGTGAAGGAGTCGCAGTTTCGGTGTCCCACTTGCAGCCAGTGCTGGTCTACGGCGTCGACTACTGCGCTTGCTCGCACTGGCAACGCACAGTCGGAGAGATCGATGGAAAACTGAGCGCTGGCGAGTTCGAGCTTCGCACGGAGCCACTCGAGTCGGGTGTTTTGTTCGGGGACGTTTTCAAAGAAGTCCCCACGTAGAAGAACTTGTATGATATTGGAACGGAGCGACGATTCCAAAGAATAATCTCGTGAACTTAAATTCTTGGCATATTACAAAGAATAATCTCGTGTTCTTGAAAGAACCAAGTTTCCGGGAAGTAAAGTTTACTCTCTTTTAGTGGAAAGTTACGTTATAATCTATCAACGTAACAGCCACGGCAGCGTGAGAGCGTCCGTCCACGACGTGAATCGTGGAATATCGAAGAGTTATTTTCAGCATTCGAGGAAGAGAGACGACTATGGTGAAGAAGCGATGGGTCGGGAACTCGGTGATGATCCTTCTCCTGGCACTCTTCTTCTTCCGAGAGATTATCGTGGACACTTTCTTCCCTCTTGGCACCTGGACGAGGACGAGTTCTTCCACAGACCATTCACTCCTGATCCAAAGGTCTGCTGCTCTTCCCGTAGCTCCAGTCCCGCTGAGACAAGCCTTCGCAGGAAGAACTCTCAACGTCTCCGACCGTGTTCTAGAGCTAGCTCCTCCGGGGATTAGAACAGAGTTCGAGGAGAACAGGAACGTCGACGGCTATGGACTCACAGTCGTGAGAAACGCTTGCTTTCTTCCTGGAGGAGAGATCGTGTTAGTAAACATCACAGACGAGTACCTCAACCAGACGCTCTCGGCATCGCCCAAGCTCCAGGAACTCTGGAGCGCCGGCTACAACTCCACTTGCGGGTGGTGCCAGAAGACCGGTTCGCAGCTCTCGCCGGAGGCTCCAGAGGGCGCTCGGTGGATCCCCGGGAACACCACTCACATCCTTCCATACTTGGGGAACGTCTTCCACAACTTTGCCGAGCGGATCTGGCCACACCTGGCGTCGCACCACCCCCCGCTCAACCAGACGGCCATGCAGCCGATCAATCACTTCCTGATCCACAAGTTCACCACCTGGATCGAGCAGGCCGACGCCGGAAACCACGAGCGCGAGAACTTCATGCTCCAGTTCCGGGTACTGGCCGAGCTCTCCCCCGGCTCGGACTTCGTCGTCATGGACTCGACCGGCCAGAACCACCCCGTTTGCTTCGAGCGGATCACACTGTCTTGCTCCTCCTGCGACCGGATGTCCACCACCCTCGGCCACCAAGTCTTCTCGGCCTCCATCACCTCGTACCGCGAGGCCGCCTTTAAGTTCTTCGGCGTCCCGGAGCCAGCGGTCTCGGCTCCACCCCGGCCACTCCGAGTAGCGTTCTACGGCCGCAGTGACACGAGAAGACGTCGAGTAGCAAACGCTGGCGAGGTGATGGAACACCTCCGAGCTTGGGACAGTCCACCGCTTGATATCCTCTTCCTGGACGAGCTTCTTTCGGACAAGCGTTACAACCAGACCATGCCGGAGACGGTGGCGCTCTTCTCACACACCGACGTGCTCGTCACTGTTCATGGAGCGAATACTTGGGCGACTATGTTCATGCCACGCCGTGCTGCTGTGATCGAGATATACGGCCCCTGCGGCCCCGGGACTTGGATCGACAACGTCGCGAGAGCTCTCGATCTTAAGCACGACACGACGTCGAATCCATGGCGAGACAAGGTGGCCTCTCCTCTGGCTGGAAACACCACCCAGTGTGAGGGAGCTATACAAACTCCAGACTTCACCTTGGATACGATCAAGCTGGACGAGGCCATCGCAAAGTTGGCGCTGCCTACGGGGCCCTTGGATCGGATTCCACTGCACTGGTTATACGACTGGAAGAAACGAGCGTACGCTACTCACTTGGTGGAGGGGTGACTAATCAAAGACGAGTTCTTTCGTGGTTTTCCTGAAAACAGCCATTCTTTCAATAAAGTTAACATCCAGATCTCAGGAAACGTTACCCATCGAAGTAGCTCTAGGAAGAACACTCAAAAAGAAAAGTGTGAGAGAGCATGAAAAAAACCAGAGTGTTCACAGGCACCACACGCTGTCACCAACAAAAAAAGAGCAAAAACACCGTCACCTCTTTACTGGAAGAAAAGGAAAACATGCCTGGACTTTTCGAAAGAAATTCTTTTTTTCTTTCTTTGATCAGCTGTTAACGCAGCGGTAGAGACCACTGCTCAACACGAGTAAAGCACCGGTTGCGAAGTGTCAGTGCTTCGGGGGAGCGATAGATGCCGCCCGACGAGAAATGGCTCGTGCATGACGATATATGCTGCGTTGAGGCTGCACGGAACGCAAAGTTAGAGAACACTCAAAGTTCATGGATATGGCTTCTCTACTCACGTATCAATGTCGGGTGGCGTCAAGGGATCGAAAACCTCGTTGTTAGGATCATACATTGCATACGGATCGCCCTGGCAGTGGCAGAGAAAAACTTAAATCAAGCAAGAACAATGTTTTTCGCATTTACCGGTTGCATATAGCCTCCGTATCCTTGGTAGCCTTGATATCCAGCATAACTATACGTAGAGTCTTGGCCTTGTGTGTATCCATAGCCATCGTATCCATATCCATAATAGCCCTGAGATGGATCACCACCCCATCCAGCGGGATACTGTCAGAGAAAAATTCTTTAGAAGTAAAAACACCGAAGAAGAAAAAGAAAAACATCTGAGAAACCTGTTTATTTGCGGTTCTCCCCCACGACAATCTGATAGCTTGCTGCCTGATCATGGTACCATGAAGTTTTCCTAATGCTTCCTCGGCGCACGATCTGACAAACGAGTACACGATTTTCTCTCAATACAAAGCTTGCAAGTGTCGGCAGTGCTACCTGTGAGTAAACTGGACAAATCCACAGCCTTTCCCCGGAGGTATCTTGACATAAACAAGCTCGCCAAACTCACCAAAAGTTTTCTGGAGCTCCTCCTCGGACACTGCAGGGTCCAGACCCCCAACAAATATCTACCAGAAATAAAAGAGAGGAAGCATTAGAAAAGTGCAAGAGAGAAAAATTCTGCTGGACTCACGGTTGTGTTGTTCGGATCATTGTCGTTTGGCACATTCTGTAGAGGTGAAGTTGCAAAAGTGGTCACTGAAAAGAGAGAGACGAAGAAAAAAGCTGTGAGCTACGTTGATAGAAAACGAAGAAACTCTCACCTTTTTGTGGAGCTGGCGCGCTCGGGATCAAAGCCTTCTTCGGAGTAGCGGCATTAATCCGCATGGGACGGCTGGAGCAGTAGATCCCATTCATCTCGGACATGGCCCGGACCCTCTCCGAGTCGTCGGCAAAGCGGACGAATCCATAGCCTTTGGAGCGCCCTGTGGCGACATCAGTGACGACTTTAGCACCTCTAACAGACGGGTACCGCGTTCTAAACGTCTCCTGGAGCATATAGTCGGTCACGTCGGGTGCCAGGTCGCCGACGAAGATGGAGTTCTCGGGGCCTCCCTCGGGGCGGCGCTCGCCAATCCCAAAGTAGGCCCAGTTGAGGCGGAAGAGCTGCTCGGTCTGCGGCATCTGGGTGCCCGTGAACGCCGTCAGCACCCTCTCGGCGCATGCATGCGACGCAAACTCCACGAATCCATACCCCTCGGGGAAGCCCGACGCCTTGTTCCTGATGATCTTGGCGCTCACCAGCTGCTAGAGCAAGAATGCCGAGCGACGCGGTGCCACAAGCGCCAAGAAGAGCGAAGGATTTAGCAAAGGAAAGAAAGGGAAAACGAAAGAAAGAAGGCGATCGATGCATTCTTACCTCGCCAGTGCTGCTGAAGATGGAATTGAGGTAGCTCTCATCCATCCAGTACTGGAGATCGCCTACCCACAGCGTCTTCATGTCGATCGGCGGCTGCTGGCTCCATTGCTGCGCGCTCGCGTCGGGCGAATGCATCT